AACTAAAGAAAAATTACTATTCTTCCATGGGTATTTCCGTCATCGAATTTCACCTGCCAGTGTTAGACATCTACAGCCGATCGACTATCCCAAAGGATAAAATTCAAGTGAACAATTTTAGAAAACAAATAGTCAAGTTAATGATCACAGACTCCAGATATCCAAAACAAAATCACATAATCGACACACAAAATGAGCAACCTAGAGAAATTCTCATCTAAGTGTGCCTTTCAAATTTGGACATTCGTATTACATTATCAAGTGAAAGTTACGAAGTATGGAGAAACACAAAATGATTGTGTGATGAATGTATCGAAGCCACTGCTGTCAAGAATAGTTAGACAACTCCTCCAAAAGAGGTTAAATCACAGATCATCGTTGGTGACGCCTGAGAAATAAGTTGCTTCGTTACCCGGAAGTCATCACTCATGTTATGAAGAATGAATGAAGGGGCCCTACGACCATCACTTAAAACAACCTTGCTCATAAACGAACAGAATATTACTGAACTCAATATAGAACAGCAGAACACGACTTCCACCTAAACACCGAGCAAACGAATTTAAACAGCCCTACGTGAAACCATCAGTTCAGCATGAATCACATTGCAAATGAAATCTAATAGACTCGTTCTGTGGTGAGAGCTGGCTGTTAGACAAAATTGGTGGACAGTAATTTACGTCAATGTTTATGTCCCCTAAATTGGTCGTGAGAAAAATGAGGACAAAGACTTTGCGTAGGCGGATACAGTTAACATATCGATGATCTCACATTCAAGAAACAGCCACAAAGAAATGCAAGGTTAACTTTCTGTTAGAAACAACCAATCAGAGGACTGTGTTTTTCTGCTAACAATTATCTATAATAATGTACATGAAAATCTATAAATACGTGTTGATTTGGTAAATAAACTATCTGTTGCCTGGCCCTTGTCTTCTGTTGTTACAGTTCTACTTCGATTTCACGCCAGACGAAAATCACAAGGACGAAACATCTCTTTTCCACCAGTTGATTTACTATCGTAAGTCTAGGAATTCAATTTATCCAAAGATAAACACAGGAGAACAAAATATCCTCTAAATATCTAGAAGAGTCATGCTATTCTGCTGTGGTTTCAGAAATTCAGTTTCAAGACAAAATTAAACGAATTCAACTACATTAAAATGAAATTGTGGCATCTACTGATGATAAAGCAAAACACACATCAACTGGATGAAAGCTGCTAGAAGAAACCATGAGACAACTGCTCACAAATGATGAGTGCTCCAACAAACACATAAAAACGCAATGTTCATTTTGGACAAAAATGACAGATAGATGTCTTGTAACATATTTTGAATTCATCAGTCAAAAACTATGAACAGATGGAAGAAACAATAAGGAGATCCTCTATATCAAGAGAGTGGAAACCATACTTTCACAATAATCAAAACCACATTTGTCATAACTATAAAACATTTCCACAGGGCACTCACAATCCAGTCAACAACGATTTCCAATTTACAAGAGAAGACGAGCCTCATAAATAAAAGCTGTATTTTCGGATTCTCCACTCAGGCAGTAATGATGACGAGAAAGTTAGAAACACACATTTACTGAACGTCAACTCACACATATCAAATATTCAGTTATAACAACTTCCACAACACAACAAAAGGCGAACATTGTTTACAGAAGCACACAAACACTGCAATACCTCTCTATGTTGATGAGAAAGGAGCAGAAATATCGTATGACAATCTTCCAGAAAAATGTAAGTTCAAGAAATTCAAGACACTTCACCAAATCTTGTCCAACCTTAACCCACTAAACAAACGGACAACACAGAAAACCCCTCTCTGAAACCAGAATGCGAAATCGTCCTAACGTATGTCAAGATGTTTCCTAAGTCATTGCAAGAATTCTAAAACCCTTTGGAGTAGGTATCACTCACAAACCATTCTACATGGACCAAGAGACCAAAATTTATAAGAGGACAAGACCAACATATCAACTACAAAATAGGTTACATTGGCAGACGAAAACACTATGCTGAATGAGCGGGATCCCATATTCATCTCATCATCTATGGACACAAACCAGCATTGAAAAGACACGACATATATTCGTTCATACAGATTCATGTGAACAGTTAAGAACATCTACCGATTCAATATGGAGAATGCAGACATTTTATGGGAAACATGAAAGATTCCAGAGTGTTACTAATAGCCCTGTGATAACATCAATTTTCAATTCACAGATACGTCAATATCGATCAAATCTGTCAGTCAATAGGGAACACGTTACACGATCAGAGAATCAAATATCAGGTGAACCAGACGATCATCACAGACACACACACACACAAGTGAATACAATCACAAGGAAACATCCAACAACTAACAATCTCAGTCGAGGTACTCAGAAATAGGACTATTTAATTTGTTAAAATTGTGAAGGAAGGGGGAGAAAAGTATGGAAATTAAGTCATCCAACTCAGAGAACAAAACAACACCGAGTACATACAGAAAGTCTGATGCAACGAATCTAGAACAACCCGGAAACAGCCACCTAGCTACAAAATATAATGTTAATTGAATAAATAGTATACCCGTGTAAAATTTAACTGAGAATATTATCCCCTAATACAAAATATCAAATAGATTCATGTTAATTCACAGAGATCTAATTGAATGCATTGTAAGTATACACTGTCAGAATGGGGAGAATTTCATTAAAAGGAATATTATCATGTGCATGTGGTTTTTATCCAGTGGCCAGTTCCAGTGGGACTTGCAGAAATTTGAAAGTTCACTGTAGTGTACAACAAGCTTCCAATTCAACGAGTTATTGAGTGATTTCACCTTCACTCTACCATCCATCTTTACGTCAAAAATCGAAACGAAATAAAATAAGACTTCATTTGAAGACTACTTGACAACGCCACCTGCAATGGTAGATATCTACAACTAACAATCAAATAAATGATCTAACTAACTAACTGACTAATGACACTGTGTCGGTGGCACAGCGGTTAGGACGCGTGCTGACCATGCACATGGTTGGGTGTTCAGTACTCGGCCACAGACGCACTCCATCACATCGCTAAGCCAGTAATACAGCTGGAAGTTGAATGCCCCTCTTCCATTCACTTTCTGTTTAGTGAGGTAAAAATGTAGGACAAAGATTCAGGAAACCTGTTTGTCTTTTCAAGTACAGGTCGAAGAATCAGGCTGAAGTCTTACAAAAGACATACGGAATGAATTTGAATTCAAGTGCTGCAATGCAATTCAAAATATGAACAACACTTAAAGTATACACGGTTAGAAAATGATGAGTCATCAACAGTTTATGAAACTGTTCCAAACAACTTGAAATGCCACCTCCATCTGGTCAGCGTGAAATGTTTCTGACAACAAAAGTTTTAATGTATAAAATGAAGAAGACCTTGCGATTGAACAGTACACGTCACTAGGATTAGCAAAATGAAAGCTGTTGATCAATGTGATTGTGGGAGAGGGTCTGTAAAAAGCAGAACAGCAGAACACACAGCTACCTAAATGAAACACAATGTGTCTGAAACAAACGACAGTCTGCGTGTGAAATGTAGGAAGTGAGGCAAAAGTCTAGTGGGAACCGAGGAAAAACACCTGATTTATATTATCTTTCTAGAAAGAAATACATTTCTATTACTATTTTATGAAAAATCCAAAACTATATAAATAAATCAGCCGCCAGGGTACAATATTGAATCCAACCCACGACCTATGAGGCACCATGGTTAATAAAAACGATCTCATGCAGTTGAAGTCAACCAGTCGTCATCAGACGTAACCAATACCAGAGAGTGAAGAGCTTCCAAACGCATCACGCATAAATGCAGGATACAATGAAGACATTTGCCTAACCAATGTCTGAACACTAAAATGCCAACAGAATCAGCACATGTGCTACAATGTCTCGTGCAATTTCAAACAGCCAGAAGTACCCATTATCAGATGGGGAACATATTCATGCAATGAGGATTTCAGATAGCCTAAAATATCAATAAGAAAATTTAGCCCACACATTTGTATAAAACACGGTAGGAAGTTGAAAAAGATAGGTCACAATCAACGTAGATGCCTATCAATAACCAATGAATCAATGGGTAAACGTGATAGGACAGCAACTGTCTCCCCAAAATTAACATGCAGTTACGCTAGCGATCTCCTTCAGCTAATCGAATTCACCATTATCTTGTTAAAATGATGACAGTATCTAAAAGTGTGTACTGAAAACATATCACCCATCATGACTACCTCAATCTGTCAACCGAAGTGGAAAAGCCAAGCAAAATAATCATCTTCAAGGATCCACTCAGTATTAGTCTAAACAAAGTAAGTTGCGTGACACAAACGTGAATCAGCTGAAGACTATGAGACGCAAAACAACGCCCAAATCAGTGAATCACATGAGAAAAATTATTATCTACAAAAGCGCCTTGATTCGCCATGTGCGTCAGTGGCACAGTGGTTAGGACTGTCGCCGACCATGCACATGGTCCGGGGTTCGAGCCCACGCCGACGCACACTTGATATCTATGGTCGGCCTACGAATTTTGGGTTACCGATATCCACGCTGAAAATTCCATACTTATACCAAAAATACGGTGTGGAATCAAGCTGTAATCAAAAATAAAAAAAATAAAAATAAATGTATTCACCAAAATTACATAGGCATTTCAAATACCCCATCCATTTCCTGTTCAAAAACAAGATAATTGGCATAACTGCACGCAAACTGTTCGACAATCGCTTTCTAGTGAACAGAAACATACACCTAGATATTTAGGGGGGACTTGACAACGAACAACATTTGGTTAGCCACATTCAATGTCAAACAAAAACACAATGTCACATCAACGAATGAATACTTTTATTACAATAATTCACACAACATCACACCACATCACGTCGACACAATTCCCACCATATTCACACACAGACAGGATAACAGCCAATCAACCAACAACATGTTTATTTACGACTCTCACTAACTGTCTTCTTCACCGTCTTCGAAGTTCCACTAGCCTCACCTTCACCACGCAATCTGATCTCCATCAGCTTCTCATGTGGACACGCCCAATACACTATCTTCTTGATAAGCGTCTGAATACCGCTAGGTAGTATGTTGAACAGCTTGTCCAATACTAGATTGAATCAGAAGAAAATGAAACACACATTCAATCTGAGGTCATGAGAACAACACGACTTCCGAATTCGCCAAAGTCAATCAACTCACTGAGACAATCAGAATTGCTGACGAGAACAGCTAGGCAGATCAGCAGGAGAATGTACTACATTGGTATGTGTATGGATTAGATATTTAGGGAGACTCGTGTCCACTCACCTTCATTGTGTGGATATGCAGACACCAGCTATGTGAAACGCGACCAGCGAACAGCCATATATATATATATATACATTTACTTGTTCCAATATTTGGGTCAATCGTGGACCCATGTGTGCTTAGTAACATGTGACAGTCCTCGGTGTGTCATTGAGTTGGACATTGTGACGCCGATCGATGATGACATGATTGGCATGTTGTAAATTCAATTGGAAGTGTGATGTTGTACAGTTTATGGACACTTTCTGTTGTTTGGTTGATGGACTTCACAGAAGTATTGTGTCAGATATGGTTGCGTTTCTTCTACTTACTGTCAACTCAAAATGTGTGGCATTCGCTTTTTTTACTCGGATTATTTTCAACCATGTAATTAGATGGCTTGTGTGTCATATTGGTGTAATTCGTGATGAAATATGTGTGAGCAGTTGGTGTATTAATTCTAGTGTTTCTTGATATGTTTACTTTTGGTTTCTAAGTACCTCTATTTCTCGCTGTTGAACAATTCGGCAGAATATGAATTTTGACATTTGTTGGAAATTAGGACTCATTATTGGCGGTTTAGTACTTATCTAAATACCTTATGTCACCCTTGCACTGACGACCAACTCGCCGCTTCCCTTTCAGCCTAGTTTCACTCCACCAATGGCCTGACGCGCGCGCGATGTCACCCAGTGGCGGCCTCCTCAGACGTGAGTGTCCAATCCATCTCCACTTTCTCCTACATATTTGTTGGTTGGCGATTGACTAGTTCTCGTTTTGTTTGTTTGTTCCCAGCCAGAGTTTCTTGTTAGTGGTGATTCTTTCTGGTCCGGCCATCTGGTCTTCGTATAAGGCCAGCGAAGTCTGTTGTTGGTTGATAAAGGTCTGGTCTGCAACAGGCTGCTGTTGGAAATATTCTTTGTGACCCACCCGCCAAGTTTCTGATCCAATCCGTATAGAAGAACTGACTGACTGACTTGACGTGTTTGTATTGAAAATCCGACTGAATTTTGTTGTTGATGCTGGCTGAGTGACGAAGATTGGTTTCCAGATTGATTTCAGTTGGTTGATGAATGTGTTTCTCGCTCGCCTTTCCGATTCTCGCTCTATTTGACATCCTCGTGAGTTCCGACTTCCTGTAGTTGAGACAATGCTCCCTAGATGATAAGTGAAGTGAACGAAGTGAACTCTTTCAAATCCCTCGTGTTGATGGTGATTGGCGCTGGATGTTGTTGCTGCTGTTGTTGTTGGTTGGTTATTTTCATAACCTCCGTCTTGTCTATGTTCACCTGGAGTCCTGTCTTCACCGGCTGCTCCTTTGAACAGTTTGTCGGTTTCCGCTTGTAAGTCGTCAATTTTGTGTGACATCAAACATAAATCATCCGTGAAATCCAGGTCTTCTAGGTTCTTCACTTTGGTTCAGGATATCCCTGTCTTCTCGTTTCCCACTGACTGACGCATAATCCAGTCCACCACAATTAGGAATATCAATGATGGCGGGAAATGCTTTAGTAATTTAGTATTGAGTTTTATTTAAAGTGTATATAGGTATCTGTTGTATTTTCGAAAGATTTATAAATTTTTAGGATGTGTTGGTGTTTCATTAGACTTTGGCATTACTTACTGTGATTCACATGTAGACTGTCGTTTATTCCATTCATGTTGTGGTCCTTGCATCTAATAATGTACATACTGTTCGCCTGTTTACAGCCTCTCTTCTACATTTAGACTGGTCAGTGATTCCCATTTCGGTTTGTACTATAAGGAGTGCCGTCTAACGCCAAGGTATTATTCATCTCGCTTTTTGAAGATTTCACTATCAAACACTTTGTTTACTAACCAGATGAAAGTGGCATTTTCAGCAGCCCTCAGCGGTTTAATAAACTATCTGATGAGTCAGAAATTTATAAATGGACATACTGTGTGTGTGTGTGCGTGTTCTTCTTCTCATTCTAAATTGAATTGTACCACTGAAATACAGATTCACTTCCTATGTCTTCTTTGGCGGGATTTTTCGACTTCTGAATATTTGAAAACTTGTGCAATAATTTTAAGTCTTTGGTCTTCTTTTGGACATGACTGAACAGTAAGAGGATGCAAGTGGTGCATTCGTCTTTCATTAATATTTCGCGTCATTAGTCAAGTTGTTTATTTGGTTGCTAGTAGACAGCTGGGATAGGTACATGTGAATTTGTCAAGTAGTATTCGAACGAAATTCTGTCTAAATTTTCGTTGAATTTGAATATATATGTGGATGGAGGAACGTTCTAATTTCTGCGAGTTCCGATGAAAGAGGTCACTGGATACAAAATGACATGGTTATATGCTAATATATTCTTGATTAAATTCTCAAACATTCTGATTGTGTATTCTTGAGATCCTCCTAATAAAATTTCTCTGAAGTGACATGAATCTATTGGATATTTCGTAATCGTGAACAACGTTCACAGTCATATTTTACTCCGGTGTATTATTCATTCAATTAGCACTGTATTCTTTGGCGACTTCATGTATCGAAGCCCTCCAGGATTCCTTACACACCACCTCTTCATATATTTAGTGTTGTCTTGTTCTCTTACCTGGATGGCTGTTTCCGAACTTTCATCCTCCTTGCTTTTACAATTTTCAACAAATTAAATGGTCCTATCTTCTGATTACCTCGACTGAGATTGTTAGTTTTTGGATGTTTCTTTGTGATTGTATTCACTTGTGTGTGTGTGTGTGTCTGTGATGATCGTCTGGTTCACCTGATATTTGATTCTCTGATCGTGTAACGTGTTCCCTATTGACTGACAGATTTGATCGATATTGACGTATCTGTGAATTGAAAATTGATGTTATCACAGGGCTATTAGTAACACTCTGGAATCTTTCATGTTTCCCATAAAATGTCTGCATTCTCCATATTGAATCGGTAGATGTTCTTAACTGTTCACATGAATCTGTATGAACGAATATATGTCGTGTCTTTTCAATGCTGGTTTGTGTCCATAGATGATGAGATGAATATGGGATCCCGCTCATTCAGCATAGTGTTTTCGTCTGCCAATGTAACCTATTTTGTAGTTGATATGTTGGTCTTGTCCTCTTATAAATTTTGGTCTCTTGGTCCATGTAGAATGGTTTGTGAGTGATACCTACTCCAAAGGGTTTTAGAATTCTTGCAATGACTTAGGAAACATCCTTGACATACGTTAGGACGATTTCGCATTCTGGTTTCAGAGAGGGGTTTCCTGTGTTGTCCGTTTGTTTAGTGGGTTAAGGTTGGACAAGATTTGGTGAAGTGTCTTGAATTTCTTGAACTTACATTTTTCTGGAAGATTGTCATACGATATTTCTGCTCCTTTCTCATCAACATAGAGAGGTATTGCAGTGTTTGTGTGCTTCTGTAAACAATGTTCGCCTTTTGTTGTGTTGTGGAAGTTGTTATAACTGAATATTTGATATGTGTGAGTTGACGTTCAGTAAATGTGTGTTTCTAACTTTCTCGTCATCATTACCTGCCTGAGTGGAGAATCCGAAAATACAGCTTTTATTTATGAGGCTCGTCTTCTCTTGTAAATTGGAAATCGTTGTTGACTGGATTGTGAGTGCCCTGTGGAAAATGTTTTATAGTTATGACAAATGTGGTTTTGATTATTGGTGAAAGTATGGTTTCCACTCTCTTGATATAGAGGATCTCCTTATTGTTTCTTCCATCTGTTCATAGTTTTTGACTGATGAATTCAAAATATGTTACAAGACATCTATCTGTCATTTTTGTCCAAAATGAACATTGCGTTTTTATGTGTTTGTTGGAGCACTCATCATTTGTGAGCAGTTGTTTCATGGTTTCTTCTAGCAGCTTTCATCCAGTTGATGTGTGTTTTGCTTTATCATCAATAGATGCCAGAAATTCATTTTAATGTAGTTGAATTTGTTTAAGATTTTATCTTGAAAGTGAGTTTTCGATTTGATAGCAGAATAGCACGACTCTTCTAGATATTTAGAGGATAGTTTGTTCTCCTGTGTTTATCTTTTGATAAACTGAATTCCCAGACTCATGCTAGTGAACTGACTGGTTGAAGAGGGATGTTTGGTGTTAGTAATTGTCGTCTGGCGTGAAATCGAAGGAGAACGAGTCTGTTAGATATCATTCACTAAGATGTTTAGCTTGAATCGACGAGTTTACTTAGGGGTGTTTATATTCGGTTGTTCCGTATTTAGAAGGAAGTTGTGTGTTCTGTTTTTCCATGTTGACTTGAGTAGTGATTGTCGTAGATTCCCTTCATTCATCCTCCATAACATGAGTGATGATTTCAGGGTACCGAATCAACCTGTTTCTCAGGCTTCACCAATGATGAATTGTGATTTAACCCCTTTTGGAGGAGTCGCTTCACGATTCCTGACAATGGTGGCTTCGATACATTCATTACACAATCATTTTGTGTTTCTCTATACTTTGCAACTTTCAACTGATCTTTTAATACGGATGTCCAAGTTTGAAAGGTACACTTAGGTGAGAATTTCTCTAGGTTGTTCATTTCGTATGTCTATTATGTGATTATGTTTTGGATATTTGGATGCCGTGATCACTGACTTGACTATTTGTTTCCTAAAACTGTTCTGTTGAATCTAATCCCTTGGGATAGTTGATCAGCTGTATAAGTCTAACACTGGTATGTGAAATTTGATGGCCGAAATACTCATGGAAGAATAATTTTTCTCTAGTTGACGCCTACCTCATCCTTTCTCCAGTTTTTTTAACCAATCGCATGTATCACTCGGTGATTTGGGAATTAGTTTACGTTGTGGTTTTACTGTGGATGTCTTCATAATCGGTATCATTTGTTTTGCGGTTAATCTGGCGTAAGTATACACATATATCCATATATGTATAATTTGCATATGTAAACGTATACATTTGCATGTATATAATCTTCCCGAAGCTGCTCAAAACATTGAAGATTTCGCAGTACATGTCATCCTCGTGAAGCAAGAGTATCGCTCACTCGTGCCTATCTTCATAAAACGATATCGTTGTGTTG